GTCATCCCTTCATTGTATAGACAAAATTATTGAGAGCAGGATAGAGATCAACAACAATGTTAATGAGTGGTTTGATGTAAAGCTACTCAGTTTATGTTGTTTCCAGACAAGCATGGTGGGGCATGCCTTTAGTCCTAACACTGGGGAGACAGGCAAGCAGATCTCTGAGTTCAAGACCAGCCTTGTCGACAGAACAAGTTCCAGCCAGAGCTACATGAGAGATTAAACAAATTGTTTCAGTATAAACGGGGTAATTTAGCTTTGCAAAAATAATCAGAAATTTTTAGACAAACTGACCTTTGCCTAGTGTCATGCCAGTGGCCATGTCAGAGGGACAGTAGGTGACAACTGACTTCGGCATGTCAGCCCACCAGGAGGGAAATTCCTGATGGGTGAATCTCGATAGGCAAGGCCCTGAGACCACAGACCCCAGAGTGCCTTTTGCTTCTGCTGTGCCTTGGCATGTTTACCCCTGCCATCTTTCTCTGGTATCTGGCATGGTATGAATGAGTGTGGGGAGATCCCCACTGCCTGTAATGCCATGTGCCTGTCTCGTGGCAACATCCCATTCTACTGGGCGTTTTTACCTGTGGATTATTATGAAGATGACTTCTTCCTAAGCTGTACTGTCTATTTGATAACAATGATGTTAGTTCATACAGAGCTTTGATTAAGAAAAATAAACACAAGGAAATGTCACATAGCTAGGGCCGATGTGTTTCACCTAAGGAGCTGCACAGATTACAGTTCAGGTTAGTGATTAAGGAAAACAATAGCGTCCCCAGATGACAGTCTGGCTCTAATTCTCTTAATACTGAACAATGCAGTGACAAGTTTCGGTGTGCATCGTTAGCTGAAAAAAAAAGCCTTAAAATAATTTCAGGTTAGATCAGATGTTTTGATAATAGCTTTGAGATGAAAAACCCCAGGAAACAATCTAAAATTCACGAGGACACATAGCTGAGTTATAGGTTCATTAGTTTAGGGTAAAAAATACAAAGCAGCCCAATTGTTGCTAGCTGACACACTTTCCTTGCTGGATTTGGTTGGTGATCAAAGGTGATGATTTATTTCTTGTGACCATTGTTGCCCTCAGTCTCCTGATATAAGAAACTATTGCTGAGTAGATATGCATCCTAAAGATTTAAAGTGGAGGTGACTGATTCTTTTTCATATATAAAAGTTTATGTTTGTGATTCCTTTAAGATTCCTTATAAGATTACCTTTCAGGATAAGTAATAAAGTAATTGGCCCTTTCTTTATAACTGCAAAATGTAGCCTGCCAGTAAAAGACCTGACTGAGAAAAATACCTTGCTTGCCCACATAGTTAATCTATAACAAGTTGCTTGTGTATGTGGATTCTTGGGATAATTTGTTTTTCACCTATAATACATAAAATGTTTAATCATGTAAGGGAAATGGAAAACATGTTTTTTCACTGTTTGTTTTATATTCATTATAATCATTCACTTGAAGAACAGAATGTAACCACACTGTAATTTTCATATTACCTGAAAGATTTTGTTGAGGTGTATAAGCTGTAAGAAAAAGAATAAAGATGGAGTTAAAAATGGGCTACAAGGAAACCATCAAGAATGAGAATTAGAAGAAAAAAAAAAGATTGAGAGAATTAAAATGAGTTAGATGGAAAATAACAAGAATGAGAGTTAGAAGGAACTAGAAGGGAAACATCAAGAATAAAGATGGAGTTAGAAGGAAAACATCAATAATGAGAGAAGGAAATCAACAGGAAAATAAAGAATAGAGAATGTAAAAGAAGAATAAAGAAAATGTCTGAAAGAAACCATCAAGAGAATGTGTGAGTGTCTTTTTCCCTAAGCCACTCAGATTAAAAACGTCTAGTACATGCTGACTGTGGGTTTTCCTCTGATCCCTGTGCTACAGCAGTCTTTCAAGGACATTTCTTCCTCCATTATTGTTCAAATTCGTAAAAGATTTTTGTCAACACTCATCTGTTGTCAAGATAGATTATTTGAGTCTGTGAATGCCCTGGGCATCCATTGGCAGCAATTATACTAGAGAAGGGAGGGTGAGTTTAAACTCTCTATGGTTAGTTCTCC